GGGGCGAAAGCCCTACTAAGCAGGTATATACAAAAAGTATGAAGGCTATTGCTTAACGCATTGTAAGCCGCCCTGAGTCTCCGGAGAAGGGCGGCATATATAAATCAATAAACTAATAAAATAAATAAAGAAAAATAAAGGGCCCAGAAAGAACTTCAGGATGTCTTCGGGATCTCTCTGAAGATTCGTCTCTTCACATCTTCCTGGACGGTTGGTGCTTCCCTCGAACATTTCGAAGGAGGCATTTGAGGGCACCCGTTGGTAGAGAGGACACAACTCTGAGGGCATCTGAGGGCACGATGGAACTGAGAACGGAGGGTATAAATCTCCCATCCGTCTTCTTCTCCTCCTATGCCAGTCTGGGCTAGTGGTTTAAAGGCTCTAGATTCAAAGCCAGGGAATCATGATTTTTTTTGTGTGCTTTGCACACAGAAGGTGACTGGGTGATTTTCGACCGAGTACTTCTTCTCGCTCACAAACGAACAACAAAAGCTCTGAAATACGTTGCTAAGAAAATGGCAAGGCGCCAGGACTGATTTGGTGGGCCGTACCCTCGAATAGTAGGGACGCGGTGGCTCAGTGGCTAAGACGCTGAACTTGTCGATCAAAAAGGTCGGCAGTTCAGCGGTTCGAATCCCTGGTGCCGCGTAACGGGGTGAGCTCCCGTGACTTGTCCCAGCTTCTGCCAACCTAGCAGTTCGAAAGCACGTAAAAAAACGCAAGTAGAAAAATAGGGACCTCCTTTGGCGGGAAGGGAACAGCGTTCCATGCGCCTTTGGCATTGAGTCATGCCGGCCGCATGACCACGGAGACGTCTTCGGACAGCGCTGGCTCTTCGGCTTTGAAACGGAGATGAGCAGCGCCCCCTAGAGTCGGGAACGGCTAGCACATATGTGCCAGGGGAACCTTTATCTTTACCCTTGAATAAGAGGTGGGGGGTTTTCACAACAGATCGGGATTAAAGCAGCATCTACTGTGTTTTGAGGTCCAGAAAAAACATGGACAACCACCACTTCTAATTAGCCGAGATCTTCTGCATCAAAAGTCACCCCTTGTCCCAGCGATGGGGCATCTTATCGGCCCGTTCAGGATGCAGCGAGTCTAGCCAAGCAACTCTAAGACTCTGCAAGGTTCGACCCCCAAAATAGAGAATAAATATCTAGAATCTACCACCCTAGGAAAACTGTGTCCAGTTTTGGTCACCATGATACAAAAAAAAGATGTTGAGATTCTAGAAAGAGTGCAGAGAAGAGCAAGAAAGATGATTAGGGGAGGATTGGAGGCTAAAACATACAAAGAACGGTTGCAGGGACTGGGTATGTCTAGTTTGATGAAAAGAAGGACCAGGGGAGACATGAAAGCATCTTCCGATATCTCAGGGGCTGCCCCAAAGAAGAGGGAGTCAAGCTATTCTCCAAAGCACCTGAAGGCAGGACAAGAAGCAGCGGGTGGAAACTCATCAAGGAGAGAAGCAACTTAGAACTAAAGAGGAATTTCCTGATAGTGAGAACAACTAATCAGTGGAACTCCTTGCCTCCAGAAGTTGTGAATGCTCCAACACTGGAAGTTTTTAAGAAGATGTTGGATAACCATTTGTCTGCAGTGGTGTAAGGTTTCCTGCCTGAGAAGGGGGTTGGACTAGGAGACCTCTAAGGTCCCTTCCAACTCTGTTATTCTTGAGATCCTGATTTGACCCAGCTGTCAAGAAAGAATAGTGGGTAATGGAGTTATTCCAAGGCCCTTTTAAAACACACCAGTGGATTTCAGACAAACCAAAACCAAACTAGGTTGATGGGTGAGGACAAAACCCCACCCTCTTTTATTGAAGAGGAGGCTACAGAGGGAAAACAACCCTGACTTTGGGAGGTTGGAGAGAGGGATGTACAAGGTGAATCGGGGGGCCTGAAAAGCTATTTCTGCCCTTTTTGAAATAATACTTTTGAATGGGGGGGTAAGGATGGGAGGTTCAAAGCCTGCTGCACCCATGGAGGCCCATTGGAAGAGGTAAACAAATTTCGCTTTGCCATCCTAGAAATCCTAGGACTGGAAGGGTCCTCGGAGGTCATCTAGTCCAACCCCCTGCTTAAGCAGCAGTCCTTATAGATATCATCCGGGAAGAAACGCGTCTCCAAATTTTTCGTGAAAAACAATGGAGCGCCCACAAACCCCATCCCATTGATTCATCACGATTCCCGTTTTTTGTGCAAACGGAAAAGAAATCCGATCCAGTCAAGCCCACCAAATTAAAAATCTATCTTGCTATCTGTCTAGAGAGGCAGGGCAACCCAATTCATTTTTTAAAATTATTATTATTTTTTATTATTAATTTAATTTGTATACCGCCCTTCTCCCAAAAGGGACTCAGGGCGGCGAACAGCCAAAATTAAAATACATACAATACAAAAGTTAAGATAATTAAAAGAGATTAAATCAATCGGCCTCCCAATTTAAAACCCCCAAGTCTATAAAAATTTTAAAAATCCCATTAAAAACCATTTTGGAGGGCCCCAGAGAGGTTTTTTTTTTCCTTTGAAGTTTTTTTCCCAAATGTTATTCTATTTTTTATTTTTATTTTTTTGTTTATTTACAATTCAAGCCAAAGAGTTTAGACAGACTTAGGCAGTTTCTGAATGGTGGTGGGGGAGGAAATGACTGTTTGTATACAGCTGAAGCCCCCTCCCACCTCTGAGTGGCTGGAGGGACAGGGCCAAAAATAGAGGGGGGAGTGGGTTTAAATTTGTCAGGGGGGTGGGCAAATAGACCAGGGAGAGCTGTTTCTGTGGTCTCTTTGAGTGGGGTGGGTGGGAAGGAAGCTGCCCGTTTTTTGCAGAATTGAGAGTTTCTTGGGCTATGAGCTTTTGGCCCTCCGGGGAAGGCTGCGGGGACCCTCTTAGAGCCTCCCCTTCTCTCCTATTTCGCAATTTTGATCCTGACCCGGGTGGAAGGAAGATCCCCCCACACCCCACGCAGCGGCCTGGGACTGGTCCCAGTGGCAAAACACCGTGAAATCGACACAGGTTGAATGCTAGCGATTTTTTCTCTTTTGGTCCAGCGCCGAAGATCCGAGAGAGAGCTTCCCCGGCAAGCTTCCCACGGCACGACGAATCCACGGACTCGCTCGGTCAAAGGCAGCCCGCGGGGTTTATTTGGCCGGCCGTTTTCGAGGCGGACCTGTTGAGTCCAGGTTGGGCGCACCGTTTCCTCCCTTCCCTTCCCATCTTTAAAAAAAATCAGGCGCTGCCAATCTCACCCGCCAGCCGAGATCGGTTCTAAAATATGGATATAAACACAGTCCTGCGTGACCACTTTGGCCAACGATCGATCCATGCGGAGCTGGGGAGGGGGGGGAAGGGGGGAGACGGCGGGGGAGGGGAAGGATGGGGTGGGGGAGAGAGAGTGAGAAGCAGTCAAGGCGGAGAAAGAGAGATTGACAGCTCGATACCCCCACCCACCCACCCACAACCCCTCTCCGCAATTCCGCGTGGAGACCCCCTCGGAAAACCCAATCCAGAAGACGACGCCATCGGGAAAATCTGCCGCGGTGGGGAAGGAGAAGGGAGAGAGAGAAAGAGAGAGAAGAAGAAGAAGAAGAGGAGGAGGAGGAGGAGGAGGAGGAGGAGGAGAAATGCCCACTCCTCGCTACCCAATATGCCCACCCACCCCCAAATATCTTCCGAGGTAGCGGCACCCACCCACTCTATATAACCCAGGGACCCCCCCCCCCCCAGACTCTTGTGTGTTTTTTCTGTTGGCGCACCGCTGCAGCCGCGCGAAGGCTGGAGGAAGAGGAGGCGGCGGCACCTCGCCACGCGTGGATGAGGAGGGAGCAGGGAGTTCTTTTTCTCCTCCGGGGGGGGACGGGGGGGTGGGTGGGTTAGGATCGGCGGCCTCAGGGGCTGGGAGGTGGGTGGGTGGCGGTCAGGAAGGGAAGAAGGAAGGGGTAGAAAGAGAAGAGGGGCGACGGTGGGCAGCCGGCTTTCCAAGTTGCAACTCTCGTTTTTTCAGGCGCCGCAGAGGGTGTTTATATCACAGGGCGACCCCTCCTCCTCCCCACACAACCACACAACCACACACACACACACACACACACACAAGTCCAGAGAGCTGCCTGGAAGGAGACTGCCGCCCCCGCCGCTACCTGTTCCCGCGCTCAGACTGCAGGAAATGCCTCTTGCTGTTGGAAAAACAGCGGAGGGAGAGGGAGGGGGGGGGAGAGAGAGGGTGGGTTGGGGAGGGGGGCGTCGGGAAGCTCCCCTTCTTCTCCGGCGGGCCCCCCTTTCCTCCCTCCCCCCCCAATAGAGCTGGGGCTCATTTTAAACCGGAATGCCCAGCCAGCACGTCTCCAACTGGTCTCTCCTCTCCATCCCCAATAGACACACCGCCGTTGCGGTGGTTTCCAGCCGGATTTCCACGCGTCTCCCCTTCCCCGGCTCCCCCACTTTCAATCTCTGGTTTCCCCCCACCACCTCGAGATGAATTGTGCCCCCCCCCCAAAAAAGGCGGCGTGGTGTGCTTGTTGGAAGCCATCCCCGGCTTGTCCCTTTGGGTTTCTCCTTCGCATTCCCTTCCTCCGAACAACCCTGCGAGGTAGACCAGTCAACCCCCCCCACACACACACAAACACCCGCCCCTTTGCCCCCCCCTCCCAGACCTCTCTCCTTCCTCTTCTACCGCGGCAAAAGCGCCAAGCTCCGCTAGGCATCCAAAAACACCCGCGCGCACGTCAAAATAATCTCGCCACTTTTGTTGTTGTTGTTTTTTTTTTTTGAGCTTGTTTACCGGCTCCGTTTTCCCGGGATTTGGGGGTGGGGGGTGGGGTGTGTGGGGGGGTAATGTCCCCCCCTCCTGCACCAACCCAGAGCCCCTTCCCCGAAGCCGCTGCCCCCTCCCTCCCCCCTTTCCCCTGGGTTTAAAAGGACGCCCTGCCACGCGCGCCCCTCTTTTCCCCCCACCACTCTTTCCCAACCCACTCCGCGCAGCCCCATTTCCATTCTCGGTACCTTCCAATTCGTCTTCGGGAATATCCACCGGATTGGGATCCGCTGCCAAAATATTGGGGATGGTATAAATGCCCCGGTACATCAAAGCGGCCGTCACGGGATGAAACGGCATCTTGGCTGGTGGGTTGTTTTTTTTTTTTTCTAGAAACCCAAACTTTTAATTCCAAATGTCATAAAGAGGCGAGCTGGATGCCACGCGGGAAGCAGCCGGAAAGCACAGGCGAGAGAGGGGCGAGCGGTGGGGATGCGAGAGGAGAGAGAGAGAGAGAGAGGGAGGGGAGGGGGTTTCCTCCCAATTTGTCCCCCCCCAAAAAAGGCTCCTTTTTCGCCCACTCCGGGGCTTGAAAGCTCCTTAGCGGTAGACCCAACCGCTTCCCCGCCACGCACCGGCGGGTCCTAACTGGAACTCGCGTGGAGAGCGACCCCCGCGGCGCAGAAGAGACATCGGAGGCTGGAAGCGGCGGCCGAGGCTGGAGGCTGCTGGAAGCGGTGGCTCATCTCCCTTTCGCTCAGGTTGGACGGCTGGCTAAGCTTGCCTCGATTTCCCTTGCGTCGGTTGCCGAGATCTAGCTCCGGGGCGCCCGAGACCCTCCGATTCCTCCAGCCCGGCTCCAATTCCCGGAGGATGATGACAACTCGGTAGAAACTCAGCTCAGCGCCTGCCCGGTCTGGTCCCTCTTGGAGTGGGGGGGGGGCGGGGAGGGGGCTCTTAGTCTCCAGCCCCAAGCTTCAACCCCCCGCCAGTCCGCCGCAAGCAACCTTCTGAGCCGGCCTCGGTTCTCCGCAACCTCACCAAAAAAAAAAAATCCCTTAAAGGAGCTCAAGGAGCAGCAGGTAGACAGGTAAGGCAGGCAGGCAGGCCAGGGGGGTGGAGTGGGGAGGGGTGGGGGGGCCTCCAAGGATCCAGGCCGCCCCAGAAGAAGTTTCTCCAGCCGCCAGATCCCAACAAACCCGATTCCTTTCCGGCTCTCCTGGCAGTTTCTGACTGGAGGGGAGAGCTGCGGCGGGGGGTGGGGTGGGGGGGCTTCCCTTTTCTCCCCCCGCCCCCTGGCTCCGTAGCCCCGGCTTCTTTTTTTTTTTTTTCTCGCTGGCTTCCTTGCTCTGATTGACTCACGGCAGTTTACACGCACATGCCTTGCACGGTCAACCAAGCGCCTGTGTAGCAAAGCATCTACACAATAAATCGTTTTGGAGGTGTAAGGTGAGGGTGGGGGGGATATCACATGCAGAGGAAGGAGGCACACCGGTTTGGAACCCCCCCTCTCCAATTTCACTCCCCCAGAGGTCTGTAGGGGGGGACGGGGAGGCTTTCAAGACTACATTTCCTACAGATTCTCCAATGGGAGTCTTACCCCTCACCCTCCTTTCCACTTTCAATCCTGGGGGGGGAGAGGGTCTCGTCTCCCTCCTCCTCCTCCTCCTCCCCACCTCCCCTGTTATGCAGTGCGGGTTGGACAGGTAGCAGGGATCTCTGCTGCTGGCAGGGGCGCCTTCAAAAAGCAGCTTCCTTGCACCTGGGTGGGCTTTTTCGTTGGGTGTCCTGGTGGGCCAGAAAGGAAAAGGAAAATTGTTAAACGTGGCTTCGGCCGGTTTGCACGAACCCTCTGGATGTATGTCCTGGGCCGATTCTGACTCACTCAGGATTGTGATGGGACGGGAATGTCTTTCCAAGGAGAAGAGACTTGGGGACAGATGGTTTGCGGGTAAAAGGACATGTCCTGACGTTTATTTGAGAGGGTAGTGGCTAAAAGGTGGTAATTTTCCTTTATATAGAATTCTCTATTGGCCAAGTGTGATTGGACGCACAAGGAATTTGTCTTTGGTGCATACGCTCCCAGTGTACATAAAGAAAGCATAAAATAAATCTGTCAAGAATCATAAGCTAACAACGCTTAGTGATAGTCACAGGATGCTAATAAGCAATCAAATCATACTAGGAAACCAGAAAAACATGGCATTTCTCTACCTATTGCTGGTGTCATAAGCAGTCAGGCAGGCAGGCAGGCAGGCAGGAAGGAAGGAAGGAAATGGAGGTGAAGAGAGAGAGAGATAGAAAAGTGAAAGAAAGGGGAGGAGGAAAGAGAAAGAGAGAGGGAGAAGAGAAGAGAAGAGAAGAAAGGAAGGGAAGACAGGGAGAGAGAAAGGTGGATGGATGGATGGCTGAAAGATAGAAGGAAAGAGACAGAGGTGAAGAGAGAGAGAGAGAGAGAAAGGATAAGGGGAGGGGGAAAGAAAGAGGGAGGGAGAAGGGAAGAAAGGAAGGGGAGACAGGGAAAGAGAAAGATGGATGGATGGATGGATGGATGGATGGATGGATGGATGGAGGAGAGGGAGGTGGAGAGAGAGAGATAGAAAGGAGAAAGAAAAGGGAGGGGGAAAGAGTCAGAGGGAGGGATAAGGAAGGGGAGACAGGGAAAGATGGATGGATGGATGAATAAAGAAAGGAAGGGAAGAAGGAAAAGAGAAGGGAGGGAGGAGAAAGAGAAAGAAGAGGAAGAGAAAGAGAAAGACGGAGGGAGGGAAGGAGGAAGGAAGGAAGGAAAAAAAGAAGGAAGGAAGCATCATACAACAATCCTTTCCAGAGCCTTTTCCAGAACAGTCTGGTGTTCATCCTCAGGCCAGGATTCCTTGAAGCCATACCATCAACTGCCTTGGAAAGTGGCAGCTCCTGAATGCCATTTACACACCTGTAGGAAGATTGGACGAGATCGAAGGGTTGGAAGGGAACCCAGAGGTCATCGGTCCTACCCTTGCCAGTGCAAGAATCCATTGGGCAGAGGCCAAACGCAATTGACCATCTATCTTCAGACACAGCTAAAAACTGGATTTCAGCTCCCAGGTTCAGCACCTTGGACAGAGGCAGACAGTCCTTGCCAAAACCTGGAAATCTCCAGCATTTCCTCGCAGAACCAAATAAATTGATCAGGTGACGATAAAATTTTTACTTTTTGACATATATTGTACAATTTTATAGCCAATGGTAGGGATTGTATAAATTCCTTCATCCTCTCGTTTAATCGGCATCTTTCTTATTTTTGAAACCTATAAATCATTGTGTCATTTTTTTCCCCCTCCCTTCAGCAAAAAGTTAATAAGAGGTCTCAAAGTCTTTCAGAAACCTTTTCATTATTTTTATTTTTTTTTCCCCTTGACCAGACAGGTCAGTCTCAGCATTTCTGCAAAGTCCATTCCTCCACTGTGGAGAGAGAGAGAGAGAGAGAGAGAGAGAGAGAGAGAGAGAGAGGGAGGGAGGGAGGGAGGGAGGGAGGGAGATAGATAGATAGATAGATAGATAGATAGATAGATAGATAGATAGATAGATAGAGAAATTTCCTGACAGTGAGGACAATTAATCAGTGAAACAACTTGCCACTAGAAGTTGTGAATGCTCCAACACTGGAAGTTTTTAAGAAGAGGTTGGATAACCATTTGTCCGAAGTGGTGAAGGGTTTCCTGCCTAAGCAGGGGGTTGGACTAGAAGACCTCCAAGGTCCCTTCCAACTCTGTCATTCTATTCTATCCCTCCCTAAGTTAAGGGGGCCACCGATAAAGGCCAGTTTTTGTGCATCGGATGCCCAGTGGCAAAGCCCGCTACAGGTTGTGTACGAAAGACTGCGAACCAGCAAACGTCCACAAGTCTTTGCAACAATGGCTATGTCCTCTCGATGGCTCCCAACAGCTGCCTCATTGTTATAACCCTCCGTTATTATTTTCCTCCGTTGGGCTTCATTTTTCTCCCTTAGCGAGACGTGATCCATTTTCTGCCTTATTTAACACTCTGCAAACACGCTGATCCTCTCCCAGGGTTGACGGGAGGGATGGGGCCCTGGGCACAGATGTTCTGCCTGCGCACGCTGCTGCAACCTGACTGTCAGACCTGCCCCGATTTGGTCCTTTAGGCGAGAAAGACCCTCGACTCCCTTTCTAGCGAAAGGTATGCTTTACTGAAAGCCAAGTGGGTTACAGTATATACTATATACTATATAGCCATACTATATACTGTATAGTATATAGTATATACTATACTATATACGGGGGTGCTCTATCTATATACTATATAGTATATTTGTTTTCTCAGGTTTTCGCGGGTGTTTGTATGTAGGTCTTTGGTTATTCGGGTCTTCTCCCACGTAAAATTGGAAGTGTCTTGGCGACGTTTCGACGAAGTCTCATTCGTCATCTTCAGGCTGGTGTTCTCGGCCTAGTATATATCTCTCCATATACTATATACTGGGTTTTCTCTCTCCCCAGGCTCCAGAGCCTTTCTAGAAGTCTGGGGAGGGCGAAAACTGAATTCCAGGTTGAATCTCCCTCTCAAGGAGCCGAGCCGCCACTGCTTCTTGTCCTGTCCTCTGGGAGCTTTGGAGACCAAGTCAATCCCCTCTTCTCTGGGATGGCCTTTCAAGGACTGGAAGACTAGGTTCTCACAGGCTAACAAGTCCAGCCGGCCGGAAGATGAATAGTTGTCTGTCACACCTATTCATCTCCGCCTCCTGACTTTTAACCCCAGATTTTGGGTGGGGTTTCGCTAGCAGTGGTGGCTTTTCCATCCCAAGGACCGGCCCATAGATTTCCACTGCTCTCCTCTCCTCTCCCTTCTGTGCATCTGCGTGTCAGGCACTGGACCCAGCTGTTCCTCCTCTTCCTCATTAGCCACCTCCAGACCTGGGGGCTGTTGACTCTCCATCTGAGGGCTGACGGATGGCCCAGACTCTGCCTCCCTCCCTCCCTCCCTCCCTCCCTCCGTCTCTCTCTCTCTCTCTCTCTCTCTCTCTCTCTCTCTCTCTCTCTCTCTCTTCTCTCTCTCTCTCTCTCTCTCTCTCTGCCAGCTCCATTCCCTCTTCCCCCTCTCAGGTTGCCTTGATGCTGACCCTGACTTCCACACCTCCTCCTCCTCCTCTGATTCACAGCACCTAGCCCCCTCGCCCCCTGTTCATCCTACAATTTATGACGAACGGTCACTAAACAGACCGTTGCAAGCCGAGGAACTGCCTGTGATGGAAAGGCCTTGCCAAGGAAATTGAGGGAAAGAAAGGGCAGGGAAAAAAAGCCAGGGGAAAAACACACTTTTCCTGACCTTGGTCTAGTGCAGCTTAAGCTGCATGAAATAATAATAGTTTCCCCATGCAGGGAAAATCCTTCACACACGGGTTTTTTTTTTTGGAGGGGCGGGGTGGGGAAGGAACAGTCTTTGAAAGCACCAAAACGACTCAAGAATTAGAAATAATTTAACTTAATGGATTATTAGTATTTTTAAGATTATATGGATAGCCTTTTGAAGGAAAAAAAAAAGTTTTGAAACTTATATCTTGAAGAATGTCTTATTAAAGGTATTAAGAGATTTTAAAAGGTTTAACTTAAAATAATATATATTTTTTTTCCTTTTAAAAAGATACGCTTTAAAGAAAGTTTTAAAATGTTTAATTTAGAATTTTAAAAGGGGAGGCTGATGAATAATTTTTAAAAGAGGACTTAAGGAGTCTGAGGGAGTTTTGAATCGTGTAGTAAGTTAGTATATTTTAGCTTATGCTTGTTTAATGTTACACCCTGTTTTTGCTCTGGGAAGTCGGGGGTGGGGGAGGGGAGAGGGGGTTGAAGGTTGTTGGGGATAAAATTGTTGTTTAATTTTTAATAAAACTAAAAGTTAGATAAATGTATTAATAGAGAAGTCAGAAATGTGGGGGAAATATCATAATAA